CCCAAAACATCCATACATCTTCTTAACTACTTAAACACTTCAGTGTCAGGGCTGGATCCTTTCCCAGCTGATTTTCCTGAGTTGGTTTTATTTCATTTGTTATTTCTGATCACTCTAACATCTGTGTAGATAACATCACTGCCAAAGTTACCTAGAGGGGAAATAAACAAAAAAGTGTATTGTGCTTTGGATGAAGCTATGGTGTTTAAAAAGAAAGAAAATCCCAGCAAGGCTTTAAATACTTTACTTACCTTCATCAACTGTTGTTGGTCTTGTTTTCTTGGAAAAACGTTTTACAACCACAATCAAAACTACAATAAAAAACAGCATGATGACACTGGTTATCACAGCCACTGTCAATGTTGTAACAGAACCTAGAATGCAAAAGCAAATGTCAAACAATATTGAATATCATGACGAATTTAGAAATACCAAAATGCTTCTTAAATATTTCCAAATAGTAGCTTTTCCTATCCATCTCTTCAACATACAGTAATATCTGAAGTCACAGGAGATGTGTACTAACTTTTTCCCACAACAATTCACAAGCGACAACCAAAACCATATGGTAAATGATTTATTTTACTGCATAGAAATTCAAATCCAATTTCCCTTTGAAAGAAAACATGTAGTGTTGTCTCAAAAAAAACTTACGTTTAAATACTCTATCACTGCAGGCTACCAGGGGAATAACGGTTTCATCTCTGCTGACATTATTCCAAACTTGGCACATAAGGTTTCCAGTCAGCTTTCCATCTAAGATCATGGTAACATTTGGAAACTCCGCTGTCCAAATGGTTAGGGACTGGTTGTGGTCATTGCTTTGTATAAGCATCTGACCATCCAAACTCAAAATTAATTGTACTCCATCTCCCTCAGAGAAGCAGCTGATCTTCATCTGTTCTGGTGACAAACATGTCTGAGACAGTGTTGGCTTTGACACTGGAGCTGGAAGACATGTAATCATATCATGTAAGCAGTGTAGAAGACAAATAAAATATAGTGTAAGTTAATTTGCACTGTATTTTTTAAGTCACAAAAAAGGTTTCTAGGGAAATATCACCAAGTATTAAGAGAAATATACATTTAATTTGTCCCACATTTGGGGAAATATTTTTTTAAACAGCAATTTGACTAATAATAATAATAATAATAATAATAACAACAACAACAATAGTAGATGAATAACGTTCAAGGGTTACAATTTTGGATTTCCAGGTATAATTTAGTTATATGTATACAGCATCAAATCACAACAGCAGTTGCCTCAAGGTGCTTTATATTGTAAGGTAAAGACTTTAATACAAAGAGATGTTTCAGTTTCAGATATTTCAGTGCCATAAGGGTTTTGTCATGCTCCTGGGTCTTTGACCCAGGTTTTTGAGGTTGTTAGACTTGATTTAATTTCCGAGAATATTGAGATTCTGATGTTCAGTTTAGAGTGCCTCTGTGTTTTGTTACTTAAGTTCTAGTTTTTAGTTATTGTTTAATTTAGTACCCTTTTATGTCTAGTCTCTTGGGCTTTCCTCGGTGCGTCCTCCCCTATATTGCCAGGGTGTAGTCTATCATGTCTGCTTGTGAATGTGTTTGGTGTCACTATGATAGTCTCTTGTCCCATGTGCATTATGTTTAGTTTTGCTTCTTGTAATGTCTTGTTGAGTCTAGTTTGCTCCAGTTGTGTTCCCATGCACTTCTCTGTATCACCCTCGTGTATATATTGGCTCAGTCTCCCCTCATACCTTGTCGAATCATTGAGTCACTTTCTCTTTTTCTTCTAG